AATCCCCATCAAAATACCAATGCTATATTTCTCAGAACTAGAACGAATATTCCAAAACTTTATATGCAACCAAAAAAGACCCCAAATAGCCACCGCAATCTTGAAAAAGAAGGACAAAGTACGTGGGATCACAGTACGGGATATCATGTTATAGTACCAAGCTACTGTTACCAAAACAGCCTGGCCCTGGCCGGTTTGGCTCAGCAGTTGGAGCATCGGCCTGCAGGCCAGACAGTCTCAGGTTTGGTTCCACTAGGGACACGTACCCAAAAACAAACAAAAAACAGCCTGGTACTGGCACAAGAACAGGCATATAGATCAATGGAATAGAACAGAGAACCCAGAAATTGACCCAAGTCATTATGCTCAATTAATATTTGATAAAGGTGGCAAGAGCATACAATGGATTAAAGACAGCCTCTTTAATAAATGCTGTTGGGAAAATTGGACAGCTAAATGAAAAAAAAAAAAAAATGAAACTAGACCATCAACTTACACCGTACATAAGAATAAACTCAAAATGGATAAAAGACTTAAATGTGACTCGTGAATCCATAAAAATCCTAGAAGAATATGTAGGCAACAAAATTTGAGACATCACAAGCAGCAGAATTTTCACTGATACAACACCTAAGGCAAGAGAAACAAAGGAAAAAATAAACCCGTGGGACTACATCAAACTAAAAAGCTGCACAGCAAAATGGAAAGACAACCCACTATTTGGGGGAGCATAATTGCCAATGATACATCAGATAAGGGGTTAATTTCCAAAATATATAGAGTGCTCATACAACTCAACAAAAGGAAGACAAAGAACCCAATTAAAAAATGGGCAGAGGAACTAAAGTGACACCTCCAAACAGGACATAGAAATGGCCAAGAGACATGTAAAGAAATGCTCAACATTACTGATAGAGAGATGCAAATTAAACAATTATGAGGTATCACCTCACACCTGCCAGAATGGCTGCCATCAACAAATCATCAAACAACAAGCGCTGGCAAGGGTGTGGAGAAAAGGGGACTCTAGTACACTGCTGGTGGGAGTGCAGACTGGTGCAGCCACTATGGAAAACACTATGGTCTTTCCTCAAAAAATTATAAATTGAGCCCTGGCTGGTTTGGCTCAGCGGTTAGAGCATCAGCCTGCGGTCCAAAGAGACCCGGGTTCGGTTCCTGCTAAGGGCATGTACCTTGGCTGCAGTTTGTCCCTGGCCCTGGTTGATTGTGCGGGTGGCAGCCACTCGATATGTTTCTTTCACGTCGATGTTTCTCTCTCTCTCTTCCTCTCTCCCTCCTGCTCTATCTGAATAAAAAAATGGAAAAATGTCCTCAGGTGAGGATTAAAAAAAAATTGAGGATTTAAAATTAAAAATTGAGTTGCCATTTGACCCAGTGATTTCACTTCTAGGAATATACCCTAAGAAGCCTGGAACACCAATCAGAAAGAATATATGTACCCCTATGTTCATAGCAGCACTATTTACAATAGCTAAGATCTGGAAACAGTCCAAGTGTCCATCAATAGATTAGTGGATTATAAAGCTGTGTCCATATATATATACAATGGAGTACTATGCAGCTGTAAGAAAGAACGATCTCTTATCCTTCAAGACAACATGGAAGGACCTCGAAAGTATTATGCTAAGTGAAATAAGCCAATTAGAGAAAGATAAATACCACATGATCTCACTTTTTTGTGGAATATAATGAACAAGATGAATGAAATGGAGCCAGAGACAGAGTACGGTTCAGACTGACAAACCTCAGAGTAGGGTGGTGTGGAGGATGGATGAGATGAACCAAAGAACTTATATGCATGTATGCATAACCAATGGACATAGACACCAATGCTAGGGGGGTGGGATGGGGAGGAGGGAATCCGGAATCTAGAGGGGGAAAAGGAGAAACATCTGTAATAAATATAAATAAATAAATAAATAAGGCTGATGTGATTGTGGAACTGAATTTTAAATTTTATTTACTCTTAATTCTACATTGTATTCGGTAGCACAGGACTATATTCTGGCACCCTTTTCTCTTGTTTACCTCTGGGGATTCAACATTTATAATTATACTTCTCTCTCTCTCTCTCTCTCTATATATATATATATATATATATTTGTGTGTGTGTGTGTGTGTGTGTGTGTGTGTGTGTGTGTGTATATATATATATATATTTTATCCTCACCCAAGGACTTTTTTTTGCATTTATCTTCAGACAGAGTGGGAGGGAGAGAGAGAAACATCGACATGAGAGAGACCCATCGAGTGGTTGCCACCCACACGACCTCAACCAGGGGACAAATTGCAACCAAGGGAACTGAACCTGGGACTCTCTGGTCTGCAGGCCAATGCTCTAACTGCTGAGCCAAACCCATCAGAGCACCCTTCTGTATTTTAAATTTGTATAATTTCTCAGCTTCCTGTGATTTAGAAATGACCCATGCCTATGGCTATGTATTCTTTTTACATGTTTGTCTACTTAATTCTAGGATCCTAGACCTGGAAGGTGCTACAACGAAACTCATTTCCCTCCCTTCAGGCAGATGAATGTCTAAACAGTTCAATAGTCTTATAGGGGTAGTATTTCAAGTTTTTATTCCTTCACTTACTCACAGGCTAAGAGACTGACTGAAATTTGGGATAGGTTATTCTTCCACAGAGCCATTCCCTAAAGAAGCTGCTACCATGAGGGCAGAAGCCAAGGATGAGGACAACATAGGGTAGAACAAATTAATTTTTGAAGGAAAGGGAGGGAGAGCCCTGGTTGGTGCTTCTTAGTGGTTAGAGCATCAACCTGTGCACTGAAGGGTCATGGGTTTGATTCTGGTCAAGGGCACATGCCTGGGTTGCAGGTTCGATCCCCAGCCCCAGTCAGGGCACATGCAGGAGGCAACCAATTGATGTGTCTCTCTCACATGGATGTTTCTCTCTCTCTCGCTCGCTCTCTCTCTCTCTCTCTCTTTACCACCCTCCTTTCCCTCCCTTCCACTTTCTCTAAAAGTCAGTAGAAAAATATTCTCCAATGAGGATTTAAGAGAAAGAGAGAGAGGGAAGGGAAGGGAAGGGAAGGGAAGGGAAGGGAAGGAAGGGAAGGGAAGGGAAGGGAAGGGAGGGAAGGAAGGGAAGGGAAGGGAAGGGAAGGGAAGGGAAGGAAGGGAAGGGAAGGGAAGGAAGGGAAGGGAAGGAAGGGAAGGGAAGGGAAGGAAGGGAAGGGAAGGAAGGGAAGGGAAGGGAAGGGAAGGAAGGGAGGAAGGGAAGAAGGAAGGAGAGACATAGATTAACTCATATATGGTATTCTACTGCTTTATAGTCATACAAATGCACATGCTGTAACACATGCTACAACACTAATACCAAGATAAACTAGCCAACAAGTTTAACCCCACTGCCCATTATTCTGTCATTATAGCTTTTTTCCAGGAGCCTTGAAGTTTTATTGTTTTGGGGGTTTTTTTTGTTTGTTTGTTTTCCAATTTGGAGTTCTCTTTTAAATACCCTAGCAAGACTTCTGCCCTAAACTTTTATCCGTAAGCTTTTTATCAGAGATTCTTTGACATTCAAGTAAGAACAAGAATTAAACACAGGATAGCCACCTGATAGAGGACAGAATAAAAAGAGAAGAAAGGGCATGGATAGAAGAGGTCACCAGACTAATTTTACTTATTTCTCATTTTACCTAAAGTCAACACTGTCTATCCAACTTGAAATCATTTGCCATTCTTTTTCTAAAAAATATATTTTTATTGGTTTTTTAGAGAGAGAGAGAAACATCAATGTGAAGGAGAAACATCAATTGGCTGCCTCCTGCATGCCCCTTATTGGGAATTAAACCTGAAACCCAGGCATGCGCCCTGACTGGGAATCGAACCAGGACCTCTCAGTTCATAGGAGGATGCTCAATTCACTGAGCCACACCACCTGGGCTTATTCTTTTTTTTTCTTTTCTTTTAATTCTCACCAGAGGATATTTTTCTGTTTATCTTCAGATAGAGCAGGAGGGAAAGATGGAGGTAGACAAAGAGAGAGAGAGAAACATTGATGTGAGAGAGACATATCATCTGGTTGCCTCCCACATGACCCCAACTGGGGCTGAGGATGAATTGCAACTGAGGTATATGCCCTTGGCCGGAATTGAACCCTGTATTCTTTGGTCCACGGGCCAACACTCTAACCGCTGAGCCAAACCAGCCAGGATAGCTGGGCTTATTCTTGATTCAGAGTTCTTAAGGCAAGTCAGTTACCATCTCTGATTATTGATTAATTGCTCACTTAAAGTTTATTGATCCCTAACAATGCCATTCTATATGGTCTCTACCTTAAAATAGAAAACAAACAAACAAACAAAAACTTGTTTTCTATTCTGTTATCTCTTTAAGTCTTGGTTCAAAATCTTTCACCACAAATTCCTAGTGGGTAGGGACCATTCTTTTGTAGTTTGTTTTACAGTATCTAACATAACTGGAGATTTTTGAAATGTTCTCTTTTAGAATCTAATAGGTCTTGAAGAGCTTATAATCCAAAGGGTTTATTTGACCTTGCCCTTATTATACTAACCCTAGCCCATTATGCTTTCTGCTGGTCATCTTATATACAAACTTTTACTCCACCCATAAGGAGCGAAAAACCCACAGCTCCCTGGATATAAAAGAGAAGAGGATTGAACTGTTATTAGAAGATGGAACATTGTGTGATTTTACATTTGCCTTTCTTTTTAAGAGAATTTATTCTCGTATGCAAATCTTATGTTAAGATACTTCCTGCAGGCTCTATTTGTGACTTGTACATTTTTTAATATAGTAATACAGATAAAATTATCTTATCTCTAATGCTAAGGAACAATTTCATTGAATTTTATAGCAAATATTGCTTAACTGAATGAAGCAAGCTGGCTCTTGGGAATTTTTGTTCTGTCAAGTGGTAAATGATGACTTGGTAGTTATTATAATGTGATTGGCAGTATCCTAAGACATTGCTCACATTTATTCTTTTCATAGGTTATAGATAATACTTGTAGAGTTGGTCAGATAGCCATCATCTTGTCAAGGTAAGATTTTTCCTTTCTTTACTAGCAAGGTGTGGACTCTCATTATTCTGGGATCTGGGTGGGAACAAATAGGAGAACAATGTCCTTTATTTCTACTGAGTCTGTCATGCCTCGGTCCTCATGAAACCTTACTGAATAGGAAGCAACAAATATGTGACCTTTGATTCCATTTTCTCAGATAGGAGAAGCAAACAGTTTGAAGTACAGATTTGGGTTTTAGCCTCAATTCTGCCATCATCTCCATGTGACCTTCAAATATTTTCCTTTAAGTCTTTGGACTCCTAATTCCATATTATAAAAAGTTGTGATAGTTGGCTTTTAAGATCTCATCTACCTTCATAACATTAGATGAGACTCTTAAAATTATTAAGCCCAAAAAGGGTCTGGGTCTCATTTAAGTGTTTACTACAGAGTTGGTTTTAGATTTTTGTAATTTTTACCCCTGGTTCTTTTTCTATAGATAACAATTGGTTATTTAAAGGTATACTTTGGAAAAGCTCCCAGGAAGGAGCTTATGAGAATAAAGTATTTCTGGTCACCATGGAAAGTGAAACAGACTGAGCAAGAACAGAGCTCTTTGGTAAATTTTTCCTTCCATTTTGACCCACTTGGATTGTTATCTGACCACACAACTCCCAGAGACTCTCTATGAAACTCTTTTAGGGTTTATTATCCTAAATATAAAAAGCATTCCTCACTTTAATTCCCCAGGAATTAAAAAGAAGGTATACTTAAGGTTTTTGAGGGAGTTTTCTTAGAGAAATTAAATGTGTATATATTAGGGGAGAGTGGTGGGATGATGGAAATGGGAGAAGAATAGGAGACTATTTTGCAAATGGAAAAGGGCATGAAACAGTCTGAATATTAGGGTGATTTTTTTTTCCTCCCAGTCTAATACCTCTACTATTGATGATACCTGTATTCTGTCTGGGCAATGCCAGTGAATGTTTCCGCAACTTTAGCCAGAGCCATAGGTGAGTGAAGACCAAATCTTTCATTTTCATGGTAGTCTGCACTTATTCTCTTCTATAAATGGAGACAGAAGAAGACTTTCTACATATGTTCTGGCCAAGGTGCTTGTATTCGAACAGACTATGGAATAATGTGTAGTCAAGGCTGAAAATATGTAAGTAGAAATATAACACAAAGTGACTAGAAGATAATGTGTCTGTGAGATGAAACAAAGTGTTATGGACAAGGATTCGCAAAATAATAAGTAAAATTGTATGCTCATGAACTTTTGTTGCACTGATAGGTATCTCTCTAGTTTTGTATCTATAGCAGTAGTCTTGTCCATTGATTCTCTTCTTAGGTGTATCCTGATGCACTCACCACCATCAGCCATGGCTGAACTCCTGCCTTCTGCCAACACATCAGTCTGTAGCGCACTTTATTTTTATGAGCTCACCATTTTCCTGGCCAGCTTTCTACTCAGCCTCTTCACCATTGTGGTATGGTGTCACCTTATCTGCCTTTATGGGAAAAAGCAGGGATAGGGAGGAATGGGGTAATACTCCCAAGGCCTGGGAAAAATGAGGTGGAGAGTCACTTTCTATAGTCCTAGAATTAATAAAGTGACTAGAAGATATGGACAATTTAATTACTATCTCAGTCTTTTGGACTTTCCAAGATCAAATAATGAGTGGGAAAAGCCTGCATTCATTCTGTGAGAATTTTCCTCATTCTAGAACTAAGATATGTTCTTGTGGATCCTCCTGGAGAATCAGAGCAGAAAACTAATATGTATCAAGTATATTCTTTATATAGAATGATATTCTGGAACTTAGGATATGAGCTGTGGTTTAATTTTCCAAATAATGAAAGAGTTTTCTCAATTTCTTACTAGCTATAAATTTGCGTTTATATTATATCTAACTGGGATTGAGGTGCTAAGTGGCGCGGGCAGTTATTAAATACTCATCTGACATCATAAGAATGATGTATAATTAAAATAATCAGCTATAGGACAATACATATTTATATATAACTGCCTAGTACAAAATCAGTAAGCAAGCAATATGCCTTCTAATTTGCCATATCTATTTTTCAGTATCATTTTCTCCTCTCTTCATGTTAGTTCAGGGATTACAAACTATCTACCTGTAGACCAAATGTAGTTGTTTCCTAGTACAGCTAGTACACACGAACCAATAATTGTGGAGAATTTCCTTTGACAATTTATATTTAGAACTGATTGACAAGAAAGACAGTAGCCTCGCACCCTGGGGATTCCTGTCTGCTTCTTTGGAATACCCAGGCTTTAATGGGCATTCAGAATTATCATTCTGATAAAAAAAAATATATAGTTTATTGATTTTTAGAGAGAGAGAGGAAAGGAGAGGGAGAGAGAGAAATATCAGTGTGAGAGCGCAACATCAAATGGCTGCCTCCTGCTCTCCCTCTACTGGAAATCGAGCCTATAACCCCAGCATGTGCCCTTGACCAGGAATTGAACCAACAACTTCCTGGTGCACAAGATGACACTGGACCAACTGAGCCGCACCTGCCAGGGCCATTCTGATTCTTTTTCTTAAAATGTTTTTATTGATATTTTTTTTTAGAGAGAGAGAAACATCAATGTGAGAGAGAAACATTGATCAGCTACCACCTGCATGCTTCACACTGGGGATGAAGCTGCAACCCAGGAATGAGCCCTGACCGGAATCAAACTAGGACCTTTTAGTCCATGGGACAATGCTCAATCCACTGAGCCACACCGGCTGGGCCTGGTTCTTTCTTTTTTCAATCCTCACCAGAGGATATTTTTCTATTTATTTTCAGATAGAGTGGGAGGGAGAGGTAGAGATAGAGAAAGAGAGGGAGAGAAACACGGATGTCAGAGAAACACATCAATTGATTGCCTCCCACACGATCCTGACAAGGGCCAGGGACCAAACTGCAACTGAGGTATGTGCCCTTGACCGGAATCGAACCCAAGACTCTTTGATCTGAGGGTCGATGCTCTAACCACTGAGCCAAACCAGTCAGAGCAAGCATAGGACACTTTTTAACACAATCTCTAATAAAGTGTTTTATTTTATTTTTTTATCGATGTTTAGAGAGAGAGGAAGGGAGAGGGAGAGAGAAATAGAAACATCAATGAGAGAGAACATTGATTGGCCACCTCCTGCATGCCCCCCACTGGGGATCGGGCTCACAACCTGGGCATGTATCTTGATGAGGAATCGAACTGGTGACCTTTTTTTTTATTTTTTATCCTCACCCGAGGACATTTTTCCATTTTTTGCACAGATAGAGTGGAAGGGAGAGCGAGGGAGGGAGAGAGAGAGAAACATCGATGCGAAAGGGACACATCGAGTGGCTGCCACCCGCACGACCAACCACGGCCGGGGACAAACTGCAACCGAGGTACATGCCCTTAGTGGGAACCGAACCCGGGTCTCTCTGGACCGCAGGCGGACGCTCTAACCGCTGAGCCAAACCGGCCAGGGCGAACTGGTGACCTTTGATGTATGGGTTGACACTCAACCACCGAGCCACACAGGGCCAGGCTCTAATAAAGTGTTTTAAAAGAGGATCTGGATAGATCTTAATTTTAACCTCTCGTGCATAGTGTGATCAACCTCAGTGAGAATTCCTGAGGGTTGATGTAAGGTTCATGTTTTGAACATGGTAACCGCAAGTTGGCTAATATCTGTCCATTTTCCTACCAAGTAAAAGTTCATTCTTAAGATAATTTTCTTTCAGAAAAAGCCTGGTCTCACATAGTATAGACAGAGGGAAGAATGGACCTTTCCTGCTGTCAGATCCTAAGAGAATGATCCTCTAAAATTATTGGAGGATAGACCTGGGAAGTTGCCAAACCTTAGGCAAACTACTCACTGCTCTACTCTTGTCTAGGCCTTACTCATCCAAGCCCAGACAGTGTATAAGAAGTTTGTGAAATCGACTGGTTTTCTGGGAAGTGAACAGTGGGCAATGATTCACATCATGGAGCAGCGAGTGCGCTTCTACCCAGTGGCCTTCTTTTGCTGCTGGGGCCCAGGTGGGTATCTTAATGGAAAGAGCTGGGCAATGAAGAGGGCACTATTGGGTCTCACCAAGAAAGATAATTGCAAATTCCTGTCCATCTTGTAAAATTTAAGTTGTTCCCACTGGTATTTCCAGGTTTTTCCCAATCTTCTTAACTTCTTCTTATGTTTTAGAAGTTAAGTTAATTAGACATGAGGTGCAACCTAATATGAGAAAAAATGCCCTGACAGAACTCAGAAATATTAATACCTGTCCTTCCTGCTACATAAAATTGTAATGAGGATCAGATTGGATAAAGTTTATGAAAGAGGTTAGTAAACTCTAAAATGCTAGAAAGTGTAACTTACTATCTTCCTGTAGTACGTCTTGCCACCATTACTACACTAATAATCTGCAAAGTTTAATCAGTGAGGAGTAAAAGTTGGAGATCCAAGGCCCAGTGGTTTATATAACTGCTTGATCTCATTGCTGATCTTCATTATGCCTATAACTTTCATTCTAACAATGCTTAGGCATGTATACTAAAGAATTCTATGCTCAGGAAGCCAGGGTTGACAACCAGATTTATACTTTATGTTTTCATAGCTGTCATTTTGATGATCATAAAGCTGATAAAGCCACAGGACACCAAGCTTCACATAGCCCTCTATGTTCTTCAGGTAATACCTTCAACATCCAGCATCTCTGTTCTCACACCCCTTTTCCTCTTATACTGCCATCATTCTGTAAGCACAATTTTTTTCCTTCAGGTATTTATTTCTACAATGAAAAAGAGAAAATTTTATATTTAGTTATGAAGAATGTGAAATTTTCTTCACAGATGTGGTAGATGCTTTTGTGAAAGTGCTTCCATGGATTTCAGAGCATATGTATGTCTGGTCAACTTTAATTTATTAATGTGTTTTTAAGGGATAAGTAACAAAAACAAGATCTACCAGCAAATACTCTTATGAGTCACTAATTCTTATGAATCACTAATATCTCACCTGATAATAGCAACATGATTCTATCACATCCAGAGTGAATTGAATGGGGTAAATAACCCATTCTAGGTGAATAGGGAAGAAGTAGTAAATAAATAGAATGATTCTCTGTTTTCCTTCTTTATCAGATTCAGGAAGGCTTTTGGGGCTGACTATGCTGATAGGGCAATTTTCTCAAACCTGACCTGAGAAATGGGGCAATAAGGAGGGGAATTGAAACTACTTCATTGTCCTTATGTAAACACTAGGAAATATGACCAACTCTCTCTCAATCATCCACGACAAGGTACAGTATGAAGAGTGAGTTCAGAAGAGCTAGAAAAATATTAAAAACTGATGCCAGATCTTAATGTATGAGATAGAGGAAATATAATAATGCTTTATAAATAAGGGGCATGGGAACTATTCCCTGGATCTCTGAAAACCTAAAGGATGGGCTCCATCACCTCTTCATCTCCTCCAGGCTCTAACAGCATCATCCCAGGGTCTGTTCAACTGTGGAGTATATGGATGGACACAGCACAAGTTTTTTCAACTAAAGCAAGAGACTCGACGTGATGCAGACACCCAGACACCATTATTATGTTCACAGAAAAGATTCTATAGCAGAGGCCCAGATCCATTGGAATCTACCCTTGCTTTTGCTACCAGCACCTCTACCACTCTTTGAAACTGGAATACTGGAATACAGGAATTGGAGTTATTCCACACTAACAGATTGGGAAGAGTGTTGGGGAACATTAAGTCTTTTCTAACCATACCTTAAATTATGAAAGTGAAAGGGAATATAGTGCCATTGTTAGTAGCCATTCTAGGTAAATTGGGCAACATCTTTTCATTATACTCAGATTCAGTAGTGATCCCCCCCCCCCCATTAGCAATAATTGCACCTCGGATAAACCTCATTGGCCACAATATTGCCACTACACAAAGCTCAGTAGTGATTCTTAAAGTCTTTGTTCAAGAAGATATAGCCACTTTTCACCTAAGAGATGGACTCATTACTCCAATGAATATTAGATCTAAGTCTTTTCTAGAAAATAGTTAATTCCAGTTTATTATTTATACATGCCACTTCCAGGCTCTCTACTCCATGGTTGCAGGTGAAGTAGGGTGGCATGCAACAGTTTGCTCAGCTCTCATCTAAAAGATACACTTTTTAGCATTTTAGAGTTTACCAACCTCTTTCATAAACATTATTCAATCTGATCCTGAGGTTAGACAAAGAAAGTTCTGAGTTTCTGTTCTTTGAAGAGGTTTGGAAACTCAGAATAAGCAAGAACAACAACTATCAAAAAAGTGACAGTGGGATCCTCAGATACAGCACATTCTAGTCTCATTTGATCAGTGCCATTCTAGATCTTGACAATAGGGACCCCCCCCCCCCACACACACACACACTCTAGAAAATTAAAGCCAGTCTTTTGAAATTACAGGGGATAATGAGAGTCAGGAGACTTCGTGACTAAAGGAAAATCTAGGAATCAAAAACTCTGAGCTGTCATTTACAAGCAGAAGTATTAAGTAGGTTTAAGTGTCAAACATTGAATTAGGTTGAACCATATGAACTTGCCATTTTTGTAGGTGAAAATGGTCTAATATCATTTTTATATGCTTCAACCTAACAGTGCTAAATATTATTTACAGGATAAATGAATGAACGAATGAATGAATGATAAGTACAATTTGAACCTTTTGGGAAAGAACAGGTTCATAGACTAGAGCCTCATTTATGGGTTGGAATGTAATCTGTTTCTTCCTCTTTAATCACATTACAAGTAATGTTTGGTCTCTCCAGTTAAGTTATGAACAAGTCCAATTTGAGGCCAGGACATCAGATACCATGATGCCAAAACAAAGGGAAAGTCAGATGGACAAAGTGACTGGAATGATTATTAACAAAACTCATAATCAAATGCTTCTCACCTGATAAATTCCCTTGGTCTGTCCAGTGCAAAATCCTTAAGATTAAAGAAAATCCACAGATTAGATTACAATGGGAGATTTGATAGGATACTCTGAAAAGTAAGTTCCAGAGTTTTTCAAAGGAGCTCTCCATAGGAGTTTTAGGGAGTTTGATAATAACTCTTTGGATTTTAGGCCATGAGCTTCAGTCTTACTATGGATGGTATCATGGCCTTGTTCTGTCAACATCACATCTTGAGTCCTCTTATTGCCCCAAAGCTCTGGAAACCTGATTTCGAGGTAGCAGAAAACAAGAATGATTGCCTCACTTAGGGAGCTGCTTTAACCTTTTTTTTTTTTAAATCCTCTCCTGAGGATATTTTTCCATTTACCTTCAGATAGAGTGGAAAAGATGGAGAGGAAGGGAGGGAGGGAGGGAGGGAGAGAGAGAGAGAAACATGGACATGAGAGAGACACATCGATTGGTTGCCTCCCACACGGTCCCAACCAGGGCCAGGGATGAACTGCAACCGAGGTACATGCTCTTGGCGAAAATTAAACCCACAACTCTTTCGTCTGAGGGCCAGTGCTCTAACTGCTGAGCCAAACTGGCCAGGCCTGCTTCAACTTTTTTAAATTTAAAAACTAACAAGCAAGCCCTGGCTGGTTTGGCTCAGCGGTTAGAGCATCAGCCTGTGGACCAGAGACTCCCAGGTTCGGTTCCTGCTAGGGGCATGTACCAAAAAAAAAAAAGCCCTGGCTGGTTTGGCTCAACAGTTAGAGCGTTGGCCTGTGGTCCAGAGAGACCCAGGTTCGGTTCCCGCTAAGGGCATGTACCTCAGTTGCAGTTTGTCCCCGGCCCTGGTTGGGTTGTGCGGGTGGCAGCTACTCGATGTGTCCCTTTCACGTCGATGTTTCTCTCTCTCCCTCTCTTCCTCTCTCTCCCTCCCACTCTATCTGAACAAAAAAAATGAAAAAATGTCCTCGGGTGAGGATAAAAAAAAAAAACTAACAAGCATTTGGCATATAGAAAGACAGATGGAAGCGAGAAAGAATTCTGGTCTCCATAGACCTTGAGGAACACCAGAACTAAGGAGTCCAATTCTTAAAACGTGCTTTTAGTATTACTTCACATTTGGTTTCATTACCAGAAAGAAGGTAATTACCAAATATTTGTCAAGTTTGTTCATCTTGCTTTTCTGATGAATCTTTTGCAATGACACTGGTCTTGGATCTTCTATGGATGTAGGCAAATGAAAAGATAGTAGGAATGAGAAATAATAAAAAGCTTATAAAGACCCAGATTAGAATGATCAGTGTTTTGTCATACTGAGAATCAGAGGGGACGCATGAAGCTGGACTATTTAAACTGCACCTCATAACCCCTGAATTCATATGTCAGAGAGCATAGACATAGACAGTGGCAGTTCTTAAAATTATTGGAGAACTACTGGATGTTTGATGTTTTTCAATGTGTAAGAACCTTTGGATGTTTTCACATAGCAGCCTCCCACATTTTACATCTTTGGCCTTACACTTGCTGAAGACCTTAAAAATCCCTTTGGATTCACTGCCACAGTTTCCAGACCTGTTCTGTCCCTCTTGGTATTCGTGTAACAACAACTTTCCCAAGCAACCTCTGTGCCCTTTTCCAAAGATTTTAAAACACTGATTGTCTAGGCTTTGCCACCAGCCCTGGTAACAGTAAACTTGTTACTTGCAAGGGGTGCCATCTTGCTTGTAGGTATTTGTCTGTAATGGAGGTATTACATATTATACATTAATATTTACAGTATTAAGTTCATATATAGTACAGAGGTCTGGCCATGGCATTTGCATACCACATGGTCATACATCATTCTCACATTGTGGCCAAACTCATGAGCCATGAGAACTGCATAATGTGGCATATCTTCATGAGAGAAATATTCAAAACTGGTTTCATTCTTAGCAGTGCAGGTATCACTGAGAAATGCATAACCCTGGTACTAAAGACTTTAGCCAATAATCATATGAGCATTATCATGCTTCACCTTTCTCAAAATATGCCAGTCTCTCCAGCAGTCAAAATTTTGAGGTATTTCCTGCACAGTCAGATTTTCACTAGGTTTCTCTATGTCCATATGTCTAATTCAGTAAATACTGCTTTCACATTTAGCTTCTTCATGTACCTATTGACCATGGCATGAGCATCCATTATAATCTGTATTGTCTTGGTAACACTATTATTTGGAATCACTTATTGTCAGCAATAATAAAGATTTTTACATACTTGGAAAGTGTCCACATATAGAGCATAGTAACTGAGGAGGGTTCTCTTCTGTTCTGAAATTGTGAAGTGTTAAGAACTCATTCTTTTTATCTCCACTGACTGCACAAGCCTCACTTGATTTTAAGTATAGGCTAGAAATCATATGCTCAAAATTCTTTCAACTATAGGCTTGATGTGGAAGAGTGCCATGTAAGGTCAGGACTCTCTTTAGCCCTGGGAAAGTGCTGATAGTCACAAGAGAATCCAGATTACCCTCTGAATCCTCAGTTATCTTGAATAAAAGGCATGTCCAATCCCAGTTTCCTATTTTGAAGTGTATAAACAGAGAAATTCTTGACAAATTATCCATTTTTTTTCTTTTTAAAATTATCTTTATTGTTGAATGTATTACAGATGCCCCTCCTTTTTTCCCCCTTTAATCCCCTCCCCCCAAATCTCACTCCCCTCCTGCTTTTCCCACACTATTGTCTGTGTCTGTTGGTTATGCATATAAGTTTTTTGCTTTCTCTCTTCCCGTCCCTCTGCCTGCTTCCCATTGAGGTTCATCAGTCTGACACCCAATTTGTACTCCTTCCTTCCTTCCTTCCTTCCTTCCTTCCTTCCTTCCTTCCTTCCTTCCTTCCTTCCTTCCTTCCTTCCTTCCTTCCTTCCTTCCTTCCTGTTACAGATGTTTCTCCTTTTTTCCCTATTGACACACGCCTCCCCCTCTCTCCCTGCCCTGTTCCCAGCTTTGTTGTCCATGTCCATTGGTTATGCGTACATGCATATAAGTTCTGTGGTTTATCTCCCCCACACACACTCTTCTGGGGGTTGACAGTCTGTACTCTACTTCCACATCTCTGGGACTACCCTGTTCTTCAGACTGTTATGTTCATTATTTCCACAAATAAGTGAGATCATATGGTATTTGTCTTTCTTTGCTTGGCTTGTTTTGCTTAGGATAATACTTTCCAGATTTCTCCTTGTCATCTCAAAGCATAAGAGATCTTTCTTTCTTACAGCTGCATAGTACTCCATTGTGTATATGTCCACAGCTTTTTTATCCATTTGTCTACTGATGGACATTTGGGCTGTTTTCATATCTTAGCTATTATAAATAGTGCTGCTATGAACATGGGGGTACATATATACTTTCTGATTGGTGTTTCAGGCTTCTTAGGGTATATTCCTAGAAGTGGGATCACTGGGTCAAATGGCAGTTCAATTTTTAATTTGTTGAGGTAACACTGTATGGTTTTCCATAGTGGCTGCACCAGTCTGCTTTCCCACCAGCAGTGCACTAGAGTCCCCTTTTCTCCACACCCTCGCCAACACTTGTTGTTTGATGATTTGTTGATGGTGGCCATTCTGACAGTTGTGAGGTGATACCTCATAGTTGTTTTAATTTGCATCTCTCTGATGATTAGTGATGTTGAGCATTTCTTCATATGTGTTTTAGCCATTTGTATGTCCTGTTTGGAGAGGTGTCTGTTTAGTTCCTCTGCCCATTTTTTAATTGGGTTCTTTGTCTTCCTTTTGTTGAGTTGTATGAGCACTCTATATATATTGGAAATTAACCCCTAATCTGATATATCATTGGTAGTTATGCTCTCCCAAATAGTGGGTTGCCTTTCCATTTTGATGGTTGTTTCTTTTGCTGTGCAGAAGCTTTTGAGTTTGATGTAGTCCCATGTGTTCATTTTTTCC